TTCTTAATTTCTCGAGAGAAATTTTTGTAACTTTTCTTCTTCAGCTTCTCATACTTCTGTCTGTTAGGATTTGTTGTGAATACCACCTTTTTCTTTCACCATTCTCATTTCTTTCAACCACAGAGAAGATGGCTAGTGGAGATTCCAACTCCGATGGAGCCATTGGTGCTCCGATGCCGGAAAATGTGCCCCTAATCGAAGAGGGAGAGGGTCCGGTGGAAGACGAGAATTTTCCGACGGTGGATGAGGTGGTTCCCCCTCCAGGGGAGGCGAGGACTGACTTCAATAGCCCCACCAGAGACGAGCCGACCGTTCTTTCTACGATGGATGCTGCGGTACTCATGGTGTTCAAAGTCAAATGGGGGATCCCCGATCACATTGAACTGGTTCCGGCGGACCAGGATATAGTGCACATACACCATCTGGGCTACTGCGCATTTTATGCGTATCCCTTTGTCATCAGGTACACGCTTCCTCTTCCTTCCCTGGTGGCGGATTTCTACCACTTCTATGAGGTGTGTCTGGCTCAACTCTCTCCATACGCGTACAAGCTTTTCCTTATGCTCATCAAGTACGCGGAGCTCGCCGACCGTGAAATCTCCCTAGAGCACATGCTACACCTTTTTGCCCTATTTTCTTAGGGGTACAATGATTCACATGCGTCACCGAGGAGCCAAGAGTTTGGTGGTGAAGATGGATGATAAGGCAAACCACCGCTTTTGGCAGAGCTTCTTCTACGTCCGAACAGAGCACGTCGTGTCAAACCCGGCGGGGTTTCCTGAGACGTGGAACTTTGCCCGTAGGCCTTCTTTTCTTCTTACTTCACCCATTTTTTCTTAAAAGGGTTGTCGGTTGTCCCTCTTTAATGACCTCATTGAGGGTTTGTTTTTGTTTTTGTAGCTGAGAGGGTGCCTCCTCCGCAAGTTGCCGACACTCGCGAATGGGTGAGTGCAATTCTACCTCGTATGATGGGGATCCGTGAATGGGCGCCCTTTTATGAGAGGTTTGGGCGTAAACCTTCCACTAGTGAGTCGGCTTATTTTGGCTTTATCTGCTTTATTTCTTTCTTCGTCCTTTTTCTTTATTTTATCTTTATTTGAACCAATTTCTTGTTGACAAGTCGGAGAGGAGTGAGAAGGGCGAGGGCTCCTCCCCTCGCATTCCGTCAACCGGCTCCTCTACCCGGCCCGCACCAAGAGCAACTGCGGGCGAGGGTGTACAGGGTTTGGTTGCTCGCCAGACCGCATCTGTGGCCGAAACTGTTTGTTCGGAGGTTGCTCCTCGGTCGGAGACTCCAGTCCTCGGAGTTCGTTCAACGGGTGAACCTTCTCGCGTCGATGGCGGAGAGGCCTTATCGAAGAGGCAAAGGATAATGTTGGAAGGGGCTTCTTTAGCTGAGACGCCCTCGAGTGGTGACCTTGTTTTGACGGTGCCCGAAGCTGGCGGTGGTGCTAGCCTGGGTGAGGAGGCGATGCCTATTGCAAGCTTTCAAGAGGCTATTGTGGCGGGGGGACGGGGTTACGAGGCTGCCGCTACAGTTCTGAGCGGCCCATCATCGTCTCTATCGGGTCGCACTCCATCTTCGACCGGTGAGAGATTGAAAGGCATCGTGGTGGATGACTATGAATCCGATTCTGACATTGATCCCGAGGACATAAGGATGTTCGAGGGGGCTTTACTAGGGTCGACGTAAGGGTGGAGAGCCCTTCTCGCATACTCGAAATTCCATCGGATTTTGACCTGTTGGAGGACACAGTGGAGTTGGTGCCTCAATTCGACCTTCTGTGTTCCGCCGCTGGAAGTGAGTCTCTTCGGGAGCTCAATGATTCCGCTTTGTCACGTGGCGTGGCCGGGATGGCCTTGAGGGTGAGTTTCCTTTTGCCATTTTTCTTTGTTTTGTGCTATTTTGCCTTCGCTGATTCCTACCCTCTTTTTTTTAGACTTACATGCTGGAGATCGAGAGTGCTCGTAGGGTCGAGACAAGGGCCGAAGTTTTTCTAAAAATGGTCACGAAGTATTTCCGGTATCGCAACAAATGCCGTGAGATGCACGCGCAACTCAGGGCGGGCGGTAATGCTCAATCCGTTAGGGAGGAGTTGGAGAAAAGGGACGAGGAACTTCCGCAGATGTAGCGAGCTCGAGGAGTTGCTTCACGCCAAGAACAAGGAGCTTGAAGTGGGCAAAGGGGTTGCGACGGAGTGTGAGACCTTCAGGCGAAGGTGCTGTCTTTACGAGCCGAGCTTGAACAAAATGCCACCAGAGTCGCCGACCTAAGCGCAGAATGGACGGAGAAAATGGCTGGGCTAGAAAAGAAGGTGGCCGAGTTGGAGAGAGCTGAGAGGGCCGAGTGTCGGCTTTGGCGAGGGAGGAGGCACTAGAAGACACTATTTGCGTCCTCAGATCCGATCAGGAGTTTGAGAGGGCGATGACTACACTGAGGGAGGCGCAGCTCGAGGAACGGATTGGTGAACTTGATCGGGAGGCTTCGACCCTGGGAGATCGAGTTGGGTCCCTTGAGGTCGAGAAGGCGCAGCTGTTGGCTCAGGCTCCCCCTCAAGAATTTGCCTCTGCTATTGTCCCCGCCGTTTGTATAAGCTATGGGTCCATGCTGAGGCCCAACGAGATATACACAAGGGCTTGTGGGAGGCGGGGAGTGTTCGTGAGGCGGCTTTTGGAGATGCTCGGGCGAAGGCACGCGAGGCTCGTCTTGCCTGCGGCTACGACCTTGCGACACCGAAGGCCGGTGAGTGTGCTGAGATTGAAGATGGGCTTCCTTCGGATGACGATGATGCCGGGGAGAACGGCGGTGCAGATGATGCCGAGTAAATTTTTTTTGTAGCTTTTGTACTTAGTTTCTTTGTGTTCTTTTGTTGTTTGTTTTCATCTTTTTCTTGGGGGCCCGCTTTTGGCCCTTTGTAAGGTGCAACTGTTGCGCATGTACATCTTCTGAATAAAATAGTCGTTTTGCCTTGTGTTACATATCTTTTGACTTTCTTTCTTCCTCTTTTTTTTTTGAAAAAGGTCTTCGGACTTCCCCGTAATGAGTCCCTGATTTTTAATTGGTAACTCGAATACGGTTTTATTTTGCTCGATTCGAGCGAGAATGAAGTCAGACTTGCCAGCTTGGGCAAGGTCAGTTTTGACTTATAAATTCGAGTGAGGTCGAAGTCTGATTTGGCAACTTGGGCGAAGTCAGTTTTGACTTATACATTCGAGCGAGGTCGAAGTCTGATTTGGCAACTTGGGCGAAGTCAATTTTGACTTGTAAACTCGTATATTACTTCTGCCTGGCGATGGCCAGGGGTCGTAAGGGTGTAAATTCGAGCGAGGTCGAAATGTGGCTCGTTATGAATTTGAACGAGGTCGAATTTCATCCACTTGGTTATGGCCGGGGGCCGTAAGCGTGCAAATTCAAGCGAGGTCGAATTATGGCCCATTACGAATTCGAACGAGGTCGAATTTCATTTTCACTCGGCGATGACCGAGGGCCGTAAGGGTGCAAATTCGAGCGAGGTCGAATTGTGGCCCGTTATGAATTCGAACGAGGTCGAATTCCATTTTCACTTGGCGATGGCCGGGTTTCGAAGGACGGTGAGATTGGTCCATTGCATTATTTTTATTGGAGAACATTAATCATTACCGCATTGCTTATGCGTGCGACGGGTGAGTCCTGGTTTGTTTAATTTTGCTTTCATTGGAGAGAATTGCGCGTCGTTGCATGGTTCGTATGCGTCGGTGGAGTCCCAGTTTATTTGGTCCCTTCATTGCTCGGTCTGGAGAGGCCGTTGACGGGACGAGCAAAAAACTTATTGCTTGGGATACTGGGCACCCTAGGACCATCAATTCAAACGACGTTCGGACGTGGTTTGTAATATTTAGTCGACCGAATTGGCGTAGGATTGTCATGGTGAGTAATATTTAGTCGGTCGAATTGGCGTAATATTTAGTCGGCCGTTAGGGCGAGCTTTTCGAGTTCATGTTTTGCCTGTGTTGAAGAGATTATGTACTCCATGGGATTACTGCCCAGTCCCAGGTTATGGATATTGTTTCTTAACAATGTCGGCTTGTTCTGAGCCGTTTCTGTCACTCATAGTATGGTATGGTGCGGAGGGTTTTGCTTAGTGCGTTCAGTGGTGTTTGTTCCTTGTTCACGCACTCGTGAGAATACTTGTGTTCCTATCCCAATCCGAAAAGAAAATGACAATTAAACCCAAACGAAATTGCCAGTTACCTTGACCTGGTAAGTCGGCTAGGGGGAGGGGCGTTGTAAGGCGACCCGTTTCATCACGTACTCGAATGGTGGTTTCAGATCTGGCAGCCGCGTGTGGCTTCGCCGTTAGTCGCGTCTAGGCTTCTTATGGGCTGAACTTACCTTGCCCGTTGGGATCTTGAGCCCGAGTCCCGGTCCAATCCCGTCCAAGATTTGCGCAAACAATAAGGGAAACGTGTTATACTCCGTACATAAATTACACCGTGCATACGGGTACAAAAATAAAGCAGGACAAGCTGGTTATTTCAAAGAATCATACAGTAGGCCATCGTCCCTTCCAAGAGGTGGTAGTACACCGTTAATACGGCAAATAGGGTTTCAGACGTGCTAAGTGCATAGTGGTCATAATCCCACTTTGAGTACTCAAACGACGTGCCAAACCCATCGCTACAGGCGGGGCGTGAGTTTCATATAGATACCATAATTTCGATTTCATGTAGAGATCTGACCCTAATTGGTTTGGCTATTTCCAAAAGCTTGCCTACAACTTTCTCAAGTTGGTATTTATACTGAGAGGGTGAGGCTACGACAACCGGGATGTGAAACTCTAATTAGTTTTAGATCTAGAGGGAACTAAGATTTTGGCTAAAAAATCCCCACAGACGGCACCAAATTGTTTGACCAAAAAGAGTTAAGCTTTTTGTTAAACTAATTGATAAGAAAATAGAGGATAAATCCTAGCCAAGGATAACTAACTCTAGATCAAAACACATTGAATAAGAGAATAAGATGTAGTCAAGCTCATGAACTTTTAAGATCTAAAAGAGATATGGAACATAAATGACATGCTTACATTTTCGCTGTATTGTTCTGTAATGTAAGAAAAAAGAAGGAAAAGAAGGAATGTCATTCACAGCTGCGGAATCTATCTTTATCGATTTGAGAAAGATGATTACAAAGATTCGCATCAAAGAGCTAGACCTTGGCTTTATTTTCTTCATAGACCTTTTCCGGCCCTTCTCTCTCTTTTTCCTGTAGCGGAGATACCTCTTCCTTGTTCTCTCCCTTCCTATATATATTATAAACATTCCCTTTTATACAACGGTCCTTAGCTAGAACACCCTAATATGCTGATTGTACCTTAGGTCGTTTCCCTTTAAGTGTCACGACATATACTTTGCCTTACAAACTTTCTGATAGTTCGATCTCGGCAGTGGCCGAGATACTCATGCCTAGTGGATACAACCACGGCTTAGTCGGCTCCTTGCCATCCCTTTCAGCACTAATCTAATATGGTCAGATTTTGACTCATACACTGACATCATCGAAACTCCATAAATCCATCGAGCCACCGCCCACGGCGGCCTCCGCAGCTGGATTCACCGTCGCCGCCATTGATTGCCCGTCAACATATGGTATTTCATAGAACTTCATCAATGACTCGTAAGCCATCAACTCTTCAGTCAGTTTCTCCACTTCGTTCTCTGCTTTTTGCTCCTCACTTCCATTATAAACAGACCCAGATGAATTTTTATAAGCTAATGGATATTCCATAACAGGTTCAGCGTTTTGATTTTCGAGCGAGTAGAAGCTGCCATTACTGTTATTTGACTCATGATTATAAGAAGTATCATAGCATTCGTAAGCAGTACTGTAATTGTCGTCCTCGTTAGGGAAATTAGCTTTGGCTTTTTTTCCTCTGATTTTACGAGCTTCTTTGTCATAAGCTCTAGCAGCTTCTTCTGCAGTGCTAAAAGTACCTAACCAGACCCTTATACCTTTTCTTGGGTCACGAATTTCAGCAGCCCATTTACCCCATGGACGCTGTCGGATTCCCCTGTAAAGATTCTTCCTTTGCCGTTTCTTGATATTCTGGATCTGCTCATTACCTGTTTGTAGAAATGCATCAATGATCACATTAAAAATGAATCAGCAAAAAAAAAACACGCATAAGCTCAGGTTTAATTAATTATTTAATTACCTTTAGAGGGTTGAGCTCGTTTTGGAGTGGAAGTAACATTTTGAGTGGACACTCTGGAGTTTATTGGCTTAGTGAATGAAGAGCTTGGCCAGAAATCTGCAGAATTTGGCCATAAGTCAGTGGATGACGGGCGGCGGTCACGGCGGGGAATGAGATCAGCAAGAATTGCACCACCACACATTTTTTTGTGTGTAATTGCTCTTTCTTTATAGTAGAAGAAAGAAAAGATGGAACCGAAAGATAAAAAAAGATTTTGATGAATTTACAAAAGTTCGGTTTTTTCTATAGTGTCAAGCAAGAGAGAAATGTCTAAAGAAGTTTTGGTTTGGGTGTGTGACAAGAATAGGAGGGATAAGACCTATTTGTAGTGAGAGAGAGAGGGACTGTAGCTTGTGGTTGGTGACAGCTCTTAGTGGTGAACTTTCATGCCGTGTACGGTGTACCTTTCCTTTGGGTTCTTTGTATTCTTTTCACCTTTATACTACCTAGGACCTACTTATTTGGATTTACTTTGGTGAACAAGTTGGTCAAAGATACCCAAGGTTAAGAAAAAACAAAGTTGAGAAAAATAATCCACATATAAAATAATTTCGGTATTGTTATAAAACAATAGAAAAAAGAATATTGTAGAGAAAAGTAGAGAGAGCTGATTCTTATTGATTTGGAGTCAATTATAATGGAATAGACCTCTCTATTTATAGGGAAAAAGTGACTTAGCCACCAAGTAACAAACCCTAAAATCTCTATAAAATATAGACATTCACCATAAATAAAATAGTATTTATAACACTTCCCCTTGAGTGTCTATTCAAAAGATAATATGCCTCGCTAAAACCTTAACTAAAATAAAACCTAGTGGGAAAAATTCTAGTGAAGGAAAAAGAGTACACATGTTTAGAAATACGCATTTTGGTTGCCTCATTAAAAACCTTGCAAGAAAAACCCAGTGGGACAAATAAGGGAAAAAGAGCACAACGCGTATTAACTCCCCCTGATGAGAGTATCAATTCACATCCTTGAGCCTTCACAACCCAATCTTGTGCACCATTTTCAAAAAATCATTGGCAGAGATTTGATAAACAAATCAACCATATTAACTTAAATGAATATGTTGAACCTTGAAATCATCATTCTTGATAGATATGTAATGTCTTCATATAATGTCGTGGAATAGCCTTTTCAATATCTCCATAGAGATATTTTCGCAATCACATTATCATGCTCATAGATATATGTCACGACCCGGATTTCCCACCATGGGGAGTCGTGATGGCGCCTACTGTTGGAGCTAGGCAAGCCAAACATTTAAATATTTTCGGATAACAACATAACAATAATAAAATGCCGAGCCTTTAAATAAATGCGGAAGTCTTTTAAAACATAAATAACTGAAAACCCAAAATGCAGTAGTCTAATATTTCACTACCGAAGAGTTGAGTCGCTATCTCACGAACTACTAAAGAGTGCTACAAATAAGTCTAAATAGAAAAATACATAATGTCTGTCTCGGTACAATGAAAACAAACAGAAAGTATGGAAAGGGACTTCGGCCTGCGAACGTCAGCTAGGCTACCTCGTAAGTCCCTGGACTGAAGAGGGCTTCCGATCAACTACTGCTGTGGTCCAAGAGCTGCTCCGGTACCGTAATCTGTGCAAAAAGCACAGAAGTGTAGCATCAGCACAACCGACCCCATGTGCTGGTAAGTGCCTGGCCTAACCCCGGCGAAGTAGTGACGAGGCTAGACAGGACTACCAAGTCAACCTGTGCAGATATTTATATACAAGTACTACAAAAAAATAACAGCGGAAAGTAATAATTAAGACTGGGAGGGGAGCATACTTTTGGGAATAACAGATAAAATAGAACGGTAGGAACAAATAAGGAAAACTACAACCAAATCTTTTCTAACACAGAATACGTGGTCGGCGTGCCACACGATCCCATTTCATGATATATAAGTGGTCGGCGTGCCACACGATCCCATTTCATAATATATAAGTGGTCGGCGTGCCACACGATCCCATTTCATAATATATAAGTGGTCGGCGTGCCACACGATCCCATTTCATAATATAATATATATATATATATAATGATTTCCCGGCAAGGGAAACAAGTATCAATTCAACCATCCCGGCAAGGGAGAATACAAATAAACAGTTAATTCCCGGCAAGGGAGCTACAACAATCACTTACTCGTCCCAGCAAGGGAGTAATTACATCTCTTCCTCTTTCGTCCATTTCTTACGTCCTAATCATGTCATAATTCGAGCCAACGCTCCAAGGAGTTTACAAATCATATTTTCTCTTCATATTGTTCACATTATATCGAATCCATCAATTAAACAAGGAAGAGTCACCACAGAATCCCACATAAGCACAAGTAAGGACTCACAGTCATGCTAGACACCGGTGTATAGATGCTCGTCACCATGCCTATACACCGTACTCAACATTTAGCAATTAGAAAATAATACTCTAATCCTATTCCCTCAAGCCAAAGTTAGATCAAACACTTACCTCGGTCCAAAGAATAGCAATCAATCCTCAAATACCGCCTTTCCTCTACAATCCGACTTCAAAACAATGATATCTAGGCATAATTAATTCAATAATATCAATTAGGGCCCAACAACATAATCCCATAGCCTAGAAATGAGTTTCCTAACATTCTTCCAAAAATACCAAATTTAGACACCGGGCCCACATGGTCCAAACACGAGGCTCGGACCAAAACCCAATCACCCATAACCCCGCGAGTTCAAATATATAATTTGTTTTAAGATTCGACCCCAAATTGAGGTTGAATCACCCAAAATTCTCAAAGACCTAACTCTACCCAAAACCCTCAATTTACACCCTAAATTACATGTTTTTTGGTCTAGGAATTTGATAAATGATGATAGAAAATGAAGAAAACGAGTTAGATAATACTTACCCACGAAGCTTTGGTGAAGAAAAGCTCTAAAGATCGCCTATGGGCTGTGGAGAAGATGAGTTCGTGTGAAATATGGACTAAATCCCGAAGCTACTGTTTATGTAATTTTAACAAAATCACTGGGCGTTTTTGACCTTTGCTATCGCGACAGGGGTGTCGCGTTCGCGAAGAAAGAGGACTGGGAACATCGCGTTCGCGGAAGACTTATCGTGAACGCGTAGAAGGGGGAAAGGCTGGGTCCAGGACTTGTACTATGTGAACGCGAGATGGGGTAACACGAACGCGATGAAGGAATTACTGGGGGGTCTTGAGTTGGCTTACGCGATCGCGTGGACTAGTCCGCGAACGCAATGAAGGAATTACTGGGGGGTCCTGAGTTGGCTTACGCGATCGCGTATGGGGTAACGCGAACGCGATGAAGGGAAGGCTAAGGCTATGCGAACGCGAGATGAAAGACGCGATCGCGAAGAAGGAAAGCACTGTGTAAAAATTGCAGGAAATCTGCTACTTTTTCTAAGTTCAAAAATACCCCGAACACCTCCGAAAACACTCCCGAGCCCTCGGGGCTCCCAACCAATCACACACACTAACTCAACAACATCCTACGAACTTACTCGAGCGATCAAATCGCCAAAACAACATCAAAATCAATGAATCAAACCTCAAAATCATCATTTTTCATTCTAACTTCACAAACTTCAAACTTTAGATATTTAGGTCCGAAACACGCCAAATGACGTCCGTTTTCGACCAAACTTTACGGAAAGCGCTTAACACATATTTAAGACTTGTACCCGGTGTCGAAATCAAAATACGAGCCCGATACCATAGTCTTTTAATCAATTTTCATTTCCATTTTCCTTAACAATTTTAGAAAAATAATTTCACAGAAAAATTCTTTTACTCGGGTTCTAGACCTCGGATTTCGACTCCGGGCACATGCCCGAGTCCCACATTTTTCTACGGACCCTCCGGGACCGTCAAATCACGGGTCCGGGTCCGTTTACCAAAAATGTTGACCAAAGTCAACTTCAATTATTTTAAAGCCACATTTTGAAATTTTTCACAGAATTTAACATATAATCTTACCGGCTATGCGCCCGGACTGCGCACGCAAATCGAGGCAACTAAAGATGAGGTTTTCAAGGCCTCGGAAGCACGAAAAAAGAGAGAAATCCGGTGATGACCCTTTGGATCGTCACAATATAGCAAGATACACTGTGCACAAATTGCACAGGATGTGGTACTTCAGGATATGCTTCAAGCGATTTAAATCCTTCAAGGATTGTTATATAAGTTAAATCATATAAGTCAGATAATAGACTTTAATTAGATGCATTTTCATGTCATGCTAGACAAATAAGATATCGAAAACTGATTGCACATATCATTAACTTTATACTTTCAAGTGTTTGAACTACATGTCTAAAACTACATTTCTTTCATATGAAACCAATTCTATTTGAATTGTGTCTCTTCTATTTGGCCAATACTTTTGTGTCTGTATTCGACAGACTCGAGGTCATCATCTATACTTAGTGCTATGATAAATGTCGTCTACGAACATTTTATATCGGTTCCAACGTTTTTCATAAAGACATGGCATAGAGATCTCTTTATTCATATTTTCAGGTACCTGAATCTCTCTTGAGATTTTATGAAGTACTATGTCATGTGATCTTCTAGATCACTTGCCTCCTTTATTATGATCATTTTGATCATTTGCTCATCTTCTTTATCAAGAAGTTTATTTGAAACTGATTTGTCTATATGCTTTAAACATACCATAGACTTTGTCCTTCTAGGACTTAATAGGAGCATTTGCAATGAGAATATAGTTTCTTTCTTTGGGTCAGCAAATGCGTCTGGCATGCTTTGCAACATATTGCAAATGAATTATCTTTTTATGAACTTCAAGTTCATATTATCTTATTCGAGGATCTAGATATACAAATGATAATTCATTCCACGTAACTTTTTCTCAACTGTTTATCATATCTCCCCCTCATGTTAGAAAAACTAACTTGTTTCCTCAACTTTGAGAATCCATCTTTGTGCGTTATGGTGTTAATCAAAATATACAGCGCACACCAATAATGATAAGATGAAATTATTTGGTTCTTGACCCTGAACCACTTGTGAGGGGAGAAAATAAATTATCAATAAACTCCAAGTTTATTATGATATGGATTTTTATATCAATAAACTACTACTTTATTTTGGCATTCTTTTGTTTGTGTAGTACAAACTGGAGAATAAAGCGGGTAACTTTTCACTTAAATGTTATCCCGCTCCAAGTTGTAGTAATAAAAGATATTAAATCTTTCTTTTATTTATAGTCTCAGTATGACCAACTGCTTCCGCAAATACTTTAGAAACTCAATTAAGTTTCTTTGAGACTTGCTACAACATAATGCCTTATTAATAATCAATTTTATTTCTCCAAAATAGTAATAATTGG